TCCTCTTCCAGCCTCAGCATCCTCCTCCTGTCTGCCTCAGCATCCTCTTCCAGCCTCAGCATCCTCCTCCTGTCTGCCTCAGCATCCTCTTCCAGGCCTCTGCATCCTCTCAGGCTTAGTGTTTGGTGGGCATCCAAACACTTGTTTTCGTCTTGTTACTCTGAAAACTGCAGGAGGGTTTGCTTATCAGCTGAGTGGGTTCCAAAGGGAAAGTTACAGCTCTGTGTCTGTACATATCCATCTGTCTGTCTCTCAGTAGAGTAAGGTTACTGTTTTCTGTTCAGTGATGTTCACACCCATTAATTCACTTCACTCAGTGCTCACAACAGATGTGTGGGGCCCAGGTTCTGTTATTAGCCCATGGTCCAGATGGCGAGACTGAAGCACGGAGGTTAGAGGAATCGCCCAAGCTTACGTGGCCGGACGGTGGCTGCCAGTGTCTGAGCCAGAGCCTCTGCTCTTGATCACTATTCTCCATGGTGCTCGTTTCTTCTTGGATGGGTTAGCTACACGGCTGCCAATTCAGAACAAAAAGCTTAGCCTGCTGCAAAATGGTATGCTCCCCCCGCCCCCAGCCCAGGGCAAGACACGTGTTACAGGTGACTTTTGCTGAACACGTTGCAGGCGAGAGGTGAATCCAAACCCCATCTCAGGGTGCCAGTGCCCCGCCCCTGCTCTTCCCTCCCCCTACCAGCTGCTAGCTCTGTGCCTCAGGGCCTGCAGATGGCCATGCCGTGGTCACCCTGGGTGCTGTCCTTCTCACACTGCATACTGCTACAGTGATACGGCCTGGTGCTCTTGCCCTAAGATCCAGAATCCGGCCCCGTCCACCTCTTCTCCCGCTTCCCCCAGCCTCACTGCCGTGCGCCCCCAGTTTATTGCCCCGGCCTCCTAGCCACTTATTCTCCCTGTCGGAGTCTCTCCACCCAGCAGCTAGGGGAGCCTCTGAAGAAAAGTAGCAGCTCCGGGGGGCTTTCATCTGCTGAGAGCATGATTCACGGGCCCCCCTGTGCACCTCAGCTTCAGCCCTGCTGCTCTGCAAGCTCAGCCCCTTGCTCCCACCTGTCCCAGGAGCACGCTCCTTCCAGGCCTCTCCCTGTTTAGTCATCCTCTCAGCAGGGGAGCGCTGAACCATTCTACATGTAATGACACCCAGCCGCCGCTCTGCGCCTCCTAACCGTGCTTTCTGTGGTTTTCATTGCACTTCTCAGCAACTGAAGTATTCTTTTCCAGCCCCCAGCCCCCTTTCAAGTGTAAGCGCTTTGAAATCAGGACCTGGTTTCATTCATGGCTGTGTCCGCAGCTGCCAGAAGGGTGCCTGGCGACCAGGCGGCATGTGATAAATGCTGGTCAAGCTGAGGATCGGGTTTATAGTGGCCGCTTGCCTTTGTGATGAGCACAAGTGCTCTGTGGCTTGTTCTGGAAGTCGTGATCGTAGTGTTCCTGCAAAGTGAAGTTGCCTCTCATCCATGCTCCCCTCTGCCTGCTGTTTGGGTCCCAAGGGTTCCTTCATGGGGACCCCTCAGCCCAGCTGCTTGGTGGGGAACTCCTCACCCTCAGGGATGCTCAGGGACACTCCTGGAGCTGTTTTAGCCACTGCCCTCATGAAGTCTCCTCCCGCCCCCGATCAGAGCTGCTTCGTTTGCGGAGCGAACTGTTAAAAGCCTTCTGAGAAAGGGCTTCTTGATGGATTGCCTCCTGGGCAACAGCCAGGGCCCCAGCATCAGGTGGGCCCGCCCAAGAAAGCACCCACTGTGGGCAGCCGGAGAGAACGCATGTGTTGTCGCCTCAGTGCCAGGGACTGAGGAGCAGGGCGGCAGCTAGTCCCAGACACGCTGCGTTTTGTCTTTTCTAGACACCCCTGGTGACAGGAGTCCTCAGGGAGGCCTTTCAGAAGTGTGTGGTCCCTCTTGTCACACAGAATTCTGTCCCCTCAGTGTTTTGATGAAGCCGCTCTTCATCCTTTGCTGTCTCTTTGAGATGGCATTGCTTTTGTCGGACGGCTTTGTGGAGAAGTTCTGGATGAGGGGGTCCTGCGTCATGACTCTCAGTCCAGCCCAGCTTCGGGAGCACTTGGTTTATCAGGGAAGGAGAGTAAGGAGGCCCATCCATCCTTTCCCGCTCTGTTTCCAACATGTTCTTTCCAAGACTAAAGGCCTCTTTCGTGGCCCCTCAGTATCTCGCCTTCCCTTTTCCAAGCTGGGTTACTGTTCTCACTTGCCTTTCCTGAAGCCCTCTGTCATCTTACCTCGGGGCAGATTTCATCGTTTGGGCCTGTCGCCACATCTTGAGTCACAGAGGTCTGTCAGGGTAACTCGGGGAGGATTGTGCTGAGTTCTGCGAGTCACGCACAGAAGCTGTATTCTAGCTTGAGCTCACAAAGCTCAGAAAATACTGTGTTCCAGTTTGGAAAGTTTACAAAGTAGATGGCACAGTTCAGGTAGAGCTAGCTCATTAAGTCTATCTTGAAGAGACTTGAGCTCATATTTCAGGCAAAGCTCTTGAGCGTGCTCACATGTTGTGAGCGTGCGCACATTCGCATTAGGGTTTAATTCTGTTTTCTCACCTCACTGTGATTCATTCCAGTTTGCAGGTGAGAGAACAACTTGATTGAGGTGAATTTTTCCAGATGTGGCAGATTTGGGGTTTGAGTCACGGTCTGTATCTTTTAAAAAAGGCTTGCTGTTTTTTTCTAGAGGGAAATTTTGGAGAAACCATACTTCTTAGACCAGAATCTACATTTTATTTACCCTTTATATCTATAGTGTGGTATCGGAAGTGATCCCTAACTTTGGGCCTTCGTTCATGGAAGCACATGGGACACAGCAGTGGGGTTGGGGTTGGGGTTGGCATAGTGCTTCTCATGCCTCACCTCCCCCCCCACGTTCCTTATGCTCCCGGGTGAGTTCCCTGTGGTGCTCTCTGTGCTCCCCTCTAGTGCTCCCCTGCAGTGTTCTCCATACTCCCCCATAGTGCTCCCCATGCCCCCCATGTTCTTTGTGCCCCCCTGCAGTGCTCTTTATGCTGCTTCCTATGCTCCCCTATAGTGCTCCCCATGCCCCTCAAAGTGCCCCTCGTGCCCCCCAAAGTGCTCCTCGTGCCCCCCGTTCTCCCCCAAGGTGCTCCTCTGCAGTGCTCCCCTGTGGTGTTCTGTCTCCCCCCTCCCCCCGCTGCAGTGCTCCCTGGTAGTACTCCTTGTGCTCTTGGCTGCCTGCCTGCCCACCGGTTTACCTCTCCCTTTTGGTGGTTCCTGAATCACCATGCCGCTTTGACCTGCACACAGCCCTGGTTATCCAGACTGAACAGGGACCTGAATCTCCTTGCACCTCTGTCGTTCTGGGAAGTGAAGGCAGAGCTGCTAAAAGCCTGGCTTGTCTTCTCATGGAGGAAGACAAGGCAGCCATGGGAGCCGGGCAGGGTGTTCACCGTCAGCACCAGGCCCTTTGTTTCTCATGTGGTAGCATCTGTTGCTTATCTACTTTTGGGCAGGTCTGTGAGTGAGATCCGGTCTGTGCCCTGGTGTGCCTTATCGTCAGGCAGGGGGCTATGCAGGGCTTCCAGCTGTTCCTGAAGTCAGGGTGGGCATATTTGCTGGGGGAGGTGGGATCGCATCTTCTCTCTCACATGTGCACTCTTTTTTACTTAACTTATTCATGTAGCACGCTTGCATAGTGAAAATAATACACACAGGAATTAAAAATTATTGTGTTGTAAATACTGCAGATGTATGTAGGGAGGCTGATTTAAACCAAAATAGAGATTAACAATAGGACACACTACAGAAACTTAAATCCAACAGGACTTTATAAAGATGCCAGGGAGGAAGGGTCCAGGGGCACCGCTGACATTGCATTTTAACTACTTGCACACGTTGGGGCATGTCTTCAAGGTCAGTTATCGACAGGACCCAGAAGAGTTGTGCATGGGGGTCCCCAAGATCCACGCATTCCTGCCACAGCCCGGGGAGAGGGGCCCTTCCATTGGCTCCTTCTGTAACGTGGGCTTTTTCCCAGAGGCCCATTTGCCGCCCATGTGGACATCAGGTGGGACCTCAGTGGCGGGGTATCTGCTGAGGGGCTTTCGTCACTGGACCTGAAGGGATCAGGCTGAGCTCCCCTCTGCAGCTCAGCTCTAGGCCCCTGGAGCCTTATGGTGATGGAGTCAGGTTAGGGAGGGGTGCCTGAAGACACCCTGGCCTTCTGGGCATCACTGCCCCCTCTAGGAGGGCACTCTGAACAAGGCAGCGGTGTGAAACTGTAGACGCAGCTTATTTCAATCTAGGTTTTTGGGGCTTCCCAGTACGAGGCTCTAAACCTTTCGGTTTATGCCATTTTGTGACATTCAAGCCACTGAGTGTCGCCATCATGATTCTCTTGTTCCTTTTGCTGAGGAAGGCGTTTGGGGTGGTTCTTCAGAATCCTAACCTTGGCGGCCCATTCACCTCCCCCTGGCTGTGGGCTCAGCCAGCGCACAGTGCCGAGTCACGTTCCTTCTCTCACATCCAGTGGGACGGAAAACTGCGCCTGCGTGTTTTTCTGTGGGTCAGCTCTGGTACATCACAGCTCAGAGGGCTGATGGGAGTGAAGACCAAGCCTTCACGGGCGTGTTGAAGGCCGTCGCTGTTCACGCATGGTGGGCTCTCTGTGGATGTTGCCGGCATGCAGCAGCAAATCCCCTGATCAGGGGCGGTGGGAAGGAGCAAAGAAAGGAGACAGAGGAGGGTCTGGACTTTGACTACGCACACCCAGGAACCAGGAACTAGCTCTGTGCCCACGGCCCTGTGTGTCAAGGATGCTGCAGCTCAGACTGATGGGGGTTGCCCAAATCGGATACTTTCTAAAGAGATGGGAGGGTGGCTCGCTGCCAGCTTGCTGTGGGCCATAGTTGACAGCTGGAGCCACGGGAGGTGCTGAAATTACTGATGTGGTGGGGTAAGAAGAAGATTCCTGGACTTGGAGTCAGAGTAGATTGTACCCTCCTGGATGCCAGTCACTGCAGTGCTCGGGGCTCTCGTGACCTCCACTGTGATGCGGTGGCACAGAAATAAGACCGGGGTCCCACCTGCAGGGCTCCTCGGGTGCAGGTGGATTTCCAGGATGACAGGCCGGCAATGCGTAGTGGATGGACACCCTCCCCCATCTTACGTCCTACTTACTGGGCCCATGGCTTCCTTCCTCACTTGCCCAGATGTATCAGAAGGGTCAGCATGACCAGGGAATTGGGCTCAGGCAGAATTGCCAAGGAAGGGTGAGTCTGCTTCTCAGAGGCCCATTCATCTTTCTTCAACGTTTCTTTACTGAGTTTTGTGGTTGCGCTTGGGTCTTGTAGACAGAAAGCTCTGTAAATCACTTCCCCAGCCTCTTCTCACTGGGAGGGCCTCTGCCTAAATAGGTAAATCCGATGCCCCTTTGACATTGGTATATCCGAATGCTTATTAAGATAGCAAAAGCAGCCTTCTAACCCTGCTTTTAAAAAAAGAAAAAGGCAGCGGGTGCCTGTGAAGCATGCTTTTCTTCCCTTTCCTGTTCCTTCCGATTTGCCTCTCAAACCTGGTGGCCTGCGCCCTGGGGAGCCCTGTTGGAAAGCAAGGCCAGTGGGGCTGGTCTGGGCTGTGGAGCTGTTGGCCTCTGGCTCCTCTTTGGCATCAGGTGGCCAGTGACGGAGGCACGAGTGTTGTTCTCCTCCGGGCTTGGGAGGCAGGCTGTGCTAGAAGGCAGTCCCTCCTCCCAGCTGCTGCCTTTCCACCACTGCAAGCAAGAAAGCAAGCAAAACCCCCCTGGCTCCTTCTCTGTGACCGTAGGGTGAGGGAGTGCCTCAGAGAGGCTCTGCCTCAGTCTCTTTGTTCTAACCACGTGGTGGACACTGCAGACCCCACAAGGTTATTGTTCAGTGCGCGTTCATGGAGCACTGGTGGTATGCGGGGTGCCGTGGGGCGCAGGTGAGTCAGACACTGTACCTGTCCCCAGGAGCTCACTGCGGGAAGCTGGTATGAGTGGCAGAGTCTAGAGGAATAGGGGAGAATGGCTGAGCTTGAAGGGCAGAGCTGTTCGTTCTGGCTGGCGGAATGAGCCAGGGAAGTGTCACAAGGAGGGAACATTCAGACAAGAGGGTCTGTGGAGAAAAGGACCTGAGTACAGGCCTGGACATGTGGCAACAGACACAAACGGAGCGTGAGGGCCCCTTCTTTCCTCCCTTCCTCCCTCCCTCCCTTCCGCCGCCACCTCCGTCTCCTATCCGTGGTTTCCTGGGTCGTTCTCAAACTTGGCTGCATGTTAGACTCACCCAGGGCTGTAAAAGTACCAAGCTGCCTGCCGCTTCCTCCCCAGAGATTCTGGGCTGGTCTGACTGGGCGCCCAGCTGTCAGGGTGCAGGACCCGGGTTCTAGGTACTGCTTCCTGCTGTGTGTGCGGCCGCCACCCTGCTGGGCGTGGAGACCCCAGAACCTAATGTAATCCCCGACGCGTCACAAGACTAACAGAAGCCGACTCCTTCCACTACTGACTTGGAAGGACAGACTTGATACATGGACGCATGCGCTTTCCCACTGTCGGGGCCTAACTTGGAGGTGCCGAGTGGGTTGTGGCATCGCTGCCCCTTCGGCGTCAGTTCAGAGGTCGGTCTGTGGCCCTGGAGTTTTAAGGAAACCCGTTTTCCCGTTACAGTGTGGTTTTCTCGGAGGCCTAACTGTCGCTTTCCTCCTAGGTGTACGGATCCGGGTCGCAGACGAGGGCGTTCCAGTACGTCAGGTAAGGCAGCTGGGCCCGCTGCGCGCAAGTCCGCCTTAGCGCCGCTTCCAGCAGAGGTGGTGCAGACCAAGCAGCCCGCGTCTGTTCGATATGTTCATTATTTTCACATCTCTAACATGGCTCGGTTAAAAGTCCATTTTAATTTTCAGATGGGAAAGCCCTTGGGGTTCTCTGTTTAAAAGGTAAAATTTTCGGGGCTCCTGGCTGGCTCAGTTGGTGGAGCATGCGACTCTTAATCTCAGGGTTGTAAGTTCGAGGCCCTTGTTGGGTATAGAGATTACTTAAAATCTTAAAAAAAAAAAAATTTAAATTTTACACGTTAAGTCTGAGGCATTTATGACTCATGTGCTAATCTTTTACTGCCACCTAGTGTTTCGTAGGGAAACTTGCCCAGTTCCTGAGGGCGACTTGATTTCAGATCACACCAGTTGGAGAGCTGGCCTTAATCATCCAGCAAACCTGCAGGAGCTGAAACACACCCGTCTTAAACGTGGGTTTCTGGGGCGGGTGAGATTGTCCTCATTAAGGAAAAGATGAGGTAGACCATCTTCCTGTCAGATTTTGTGCGGGACCTAAATGCGGGTAAAAATACATGTGAGAACCTTGTCGAATAGTCTCAGTGGTAATTATTATCGTTTTCTTGTTAATCCTCCTAAGTCTCGTATTCTTGTTGGCCAGTTCAGTTGGTGACATTTTAAAATGCAGTTTGGGTTCTGGGAGAAGAGTTTACTCTATAATCAGTTGCATAGAACAAAATATTTGCCCACATGACACGGTTACTATGAATTCTGTACAAGTTTCTGATATCCCAAATCATTGTAAAATCCAGTTCTCTATTTTGGTACCATATATTTTTACTGTGCAATGTAAATACCCGGGAATGCCTGTCAGGCAGGGTGCCGGCCGCACGCACAGCAGGAAAGTGCTGCTCCTGCAGTGTCCCGAGGGCATCCCGGGGTGCTGTAGCCGTGAAGTGGTGGCAGCGGGGTGCAGGTCTGGGCCATCTCGGCCAGAGCAACCACGTAGACCTTTGTCTGATTATGTGAGAATCCTAGGGAGAAGCCTCTTTGAGAAAAATAACTGCTAGGGGAAAAAATCAATAAAAATAAAAACAGCCACTGTAGATTTTTTTCTTAAACATATCTGTCAGTTTTCACAGTTAGTCTAAAAGAAAGCTATGAATAAACGTACATCACAGTCAGTGTTTTTTTTCTCCCCAGCCATGAGTGTCTTGCCAAGCAGGACACAAAGCCTGGGAGTAAAATATAGCTGGCACATTTTGGTGCCCGAATATCCTAAGAAGAGATTTAACCAGGAAATAGCAGGATCCCTCTAGGACTGTTTTCATTTCAAAGCACTTACCCCAGGAACCTTGTGCTCAGAGAAAATGCATCAAGCCAGATTCTGTATCCGGGCCATCTTAATTGGACTTTGTGTATTGAGTACTGTCTTTTCATAATAACACACCTTCCATCCCACCCACCTTCGCCCACCTCACCCCCCTCCTCTGTGCACATGGTGAGGGAGTCGTGCGGTCGTCCGTGACATGGCATTACCTGGAACCACCTCACCGGTGGCCTCCAAACTTCTCCAGCTGTGACAGCTCGCAAAGTGCCAGGGAGACTGCAGTAAAAGGCAAAGCAGTTAGAACTCACTCTTCCTAACTGTGCTCATTTACTTCAAAGGCAACACATACAGAATTCATTTAAAAGGGCCTCAGACTTTTTCTGCCAGTAATTAGAAGATGTTAAGAATTCAGCAATGCACATGCCGCACACCATCCCAGCTCAGGAGTGAACGTGCCCGCAGTGCGTGGCCTGCCCTGATGTGTTTCCATGACATACCAAACTCAGACAGCTTTCCTGACTTCCCAGTTTTATTATTTAAGACTCAGCTGAGATAAGTTAGTTTTGCTAGTTTTAATAAGCTGGGTTTTTTTTTTTAGAAACAATTTTGTAGTTAAGAATGCACAACGTCTGAATCTATGGTTACCTTACTAAGTTAACTGTTTCCAGAATCCACGATCGCCTTGAAGTGGCATTTCCCGGTTTCTGAGGTCCGGGTGACCATACCATACACATTCACATCTTGGCATGACTGTGTCTGATGTTTTCCTGGTCAGGTTATGGCCTCATCCCCACAACAAAGGCATGCTGTCTTTTTTTTTTTAAAAAAGTCACTTTGTCAAAATGACACTTTTAAAGAGCTTCAGGTTAAATGGGTGTGATCTATGCAATTTTGACCTTAAAAGTTGCCAGCTGATTACATAAAAGATGCATGCCCCCCACCACGAGGATGATTGCATGAGTCCGTTGTCTTCCAGCTTCACGTCGACCCCCTGGCATTTCAATATTAAAATGGATTGTGGATGCTGGTGAATGGCAGCTTTTAACGTCTTCTGACGACTATGCAGAGACCTATGCCGTGAGAGATGTGTTGTGATGTAATAGAATAGTAATTACTGCCATCGTGATGAAGTGACTTTTTGCCAGTTTCTAGAAGAGTCATCCAAAATCAGCAGTTCCTTGCAGTTGTGCTTGACCTATGAGAATGGAACGGACTATTTAGGCATGTTCACTTAAAATACCCAATCATCAGAAACAAAAATTCAGAAAATAGTTTAACTGTTTGCCAAATACCCCACCCCCCCTTTTTTTTTTGGACGAAAAGGAAAGCAAAAACAGGTTTTGTTTTGAAGTTGACCGTAGTAACCTGCTCCTTGCTGGTAATGATGGAGGAGGAGGAAGGGAAGGCTTCAACGCAGACTGCATTTGGATCACCAGAACAGAACTTTAAAAGTCTTCTGAGAAGTACAGCTGATGAAAGTAGACGTAGAGAACGTGCTCGTGTGTAGCAGTGAGGTGTCATTTTTACGAAGTAACTTTTTTTTAACAGAGCCACACTTTAAAGCCTCTGAAAATAAGAACCAAACCTTGGTAAGCGAAAGTTTGCTTACTTCTCTTCACCTTCATGGCCCAGTCGGTCACGATCCATCTGAAACATCCAGGTCCCCGACCGTTCATGCGAGGAGTCTCGGGGGGCGGCGAGGGGTGGGGGGGGATTTGAAGGTGAGGGGGTAGGGAGCAGTGGTCTGGTTTATTTCAACACTGTGTTGTTTGGCTTTATCTGTGATTTGCCAGTATGAGAATTACATACTGGAGTGCATTCATTTCAGTGGGTCTTACTGGTTTTTTTTTTTCAAATCATTGCTTTTTCATATGGACCAGCTACGTGGGCTCACATTTAAACATGGACTTTTCATCAGAAACTGTATTAACACCATCTCTTGGGGGCGTATGTCTGTTTTATTTTTATTTTCCAATCGTTAAAGGGTTTCAGAAGTAGACGAAAGTAGAGAACTTAAGCCCATCCGTCGCTTCCATTCCTGTTTAGCCATCTCTACCCCACGCGCTGAGAGCGAATTCCAGACGTCATATCATCATCCATGAATACTTCAGCATTCTCAACACCGCTTATTTGCAGGATTTTGTTTTGACATCGGCTTTCCATTTGGGGTTTGGTTTTCTTCTGGGAGGTGGCGTGGGTCTGCCCGGCACCTGCATGCTGCGGCGCCTGACCCGGCCTTCTGTTCTTTTCCAGCGATCTGGTGAACGGCCTCGTGGCTCTCATGAACAGCAACGTCAGCAGCCCGGTCAACCTGGTGAGTGCTTCCGCTCCTTCCACACCCCCTGGAACGGGTCAGAGTTGTGTGCTTTTGTGAGACCATGAAGAGCCCAGCAACCTTTGCTTTCTTTGCCGGCAGCACACGTAGGGCATGCGTGTTTGCTTGCTGAATAGTAGAGGGGAAAAACATAAAATAAGAGTGTGCAAAGGAGTAAAACGTCTGCAAGGCATGGGTGAGTGGTGTGACAAACACTCACCCACCTCTGTCATCCTGAAGGGCCTGGGTCTGGAAATTTGTGAAAGCCTTTGGTGACAGTAGATGGACAGTTTTTTGTGTGCATTCCTTTCTCCGTTGTTTGGCATAATCTAATCTCTGGAAGACTTGATTAAGTGAGCTTTAGATCACGGAGGTTAAGAATGTGTCCCAGGTTCTGATCATGTATAATTCACCTGGCTGCTCTGGGGGCACCTTTGTTGCTTCTTCATTGCTTCCTGTGGTCCCAGAATCTCCCTCTTGGAGGGATCGTAAGATTCTTGCGCTCTGTGTTTTTAAGCAGTTTTACTGCTTGGTGAACATGCATCTCTTCAAAGCACTTCATTCTGTCTCTGGCCAGTTCTAATCGGCAGGAAGCATTTCCTTAGATTTAGAACTACAATCATGTTCTCTGTGAGCTACCCACTGGCCTTACTTCTCAGCGTGGAGGCCATTCAAGCTAATCCAATGCCTCCCGCAGTCGGGGTAACTTTCCAAGGATTTGGAGGGCAGGGTCATACCCTCTGAGTCTCCTCCTCCCCAGCTCTCAGCCAGAGTTCATGTTCATGTCTGGAGTCTTCCTACCCTCTCACTCAACCGTCCTCTGAAGAGCTTCATTCCACCTTGTTTAAAATGTGAAGTGTCCAGTGCAGACTGCCCATCATTCAAATGCTCTGCTTCTGCCAACGGCCCCTGATATTAGCTTATCGGGAGCCATGGCCTCACCTTGACAAGCCTTGGATCGGCTTCAGGTGCTTCTCCCAAACCACCTCTCCTGCTTTCTACAAGGTTTTAAGGTTCATAGGTGTGGCCATGCCTGCTGATTCTTCAAAACCACTTCACTCAAAAACCTTTCTTTGTACTTTTCTTTGTAACCAGCAATCTGAAGCATGTTCTGTCGCATTCATTTTTCACTGAGTTGGGAGGGAGTTCTTACCAAATAGGAAAGGTGGAGACCTCATTCCCTTGTCAGACTGTTGACCGATTCATGGGTCAGCATGCACCAGCCAGGGCTGCCTTCATGCACTTTTCAAAGAACATGAAATTAGAATGAGACGTGTCGTGTGAGCCTGTTTCTTCCGAGCCTTTACCTACCTGATACTGTCAAGGCCGGGCCACCTTTATCCTGGGTGTTGCTCCAGGCCCTTTAAAATGGTGATGTTGTCAGTGATGTCCCCCACTCCCCAAGTAACCACAGTCTTTTCTTTAGGTACTAGGTACCTTCTTTCTTTCTGAGGGGGCCTTGACACGGGGCCCTTTGGGAACTCCCATCCCTGGGAGAAACCCGTCTTCCCCAAAGCCTGAAGAGTGTCTGCAAGTAGCCCTGACAAAGACGGAGCCCTTCCCTCCCCAGTTCCTATCACTCCACTTTGCTAGTCAGTCCTTTCTTAGTGCTCATATGTAGGACTTGGTCCCTTCCAGCTTCAGGCCAGATCAGGAAGTTGGGGGTGCAGCGTATATAGGACACCTAATTATTGTCACACTTGATGGTGGTCTCTTATGATGGGGAGGGGGTGGCAAATAAGAGTAGCAGGATTGGGAAGGGAAGAGGGGCAGTGGCCGCCGTCCTGTGTGATGGAAGGAAGAAAAGGAGAAAATGGTTTTCTTTGATGCCCCCTAAGGGCAAGCTCACTCTATAAACCACATTGAGGCTTTCCCTCTGGCTACCCAGAGCCCTCATCTGCGAGTGCATTTTGGTTCCTTTACAGCTCCCATGTGCAAGTAAGCAAGTCTGTTATTGCTTAAGTTGTTGACACAGTGCACCTTGAGGGAAATATATTGTCTTAGGAGAGCTCGTTTTGCAGACCCAAACTTTTATGCCAAGTGACAATGCAGTTATGGTAACGTTAGATAGAGAAATCGTCCTGTCTCTTGGCCAGGTACCGTGTGTCCATGTTAGATGCTCTTGACCTAGCCAAGGGGCATTCTTGTCAATAGACAGTTAGTCTAGAGGACAAAAGCAGGACCAGACACAGTTTAGCACTTCACTAGGCGGATCAGTCATCATCCAGATCAGGGAAGCACCCGAGGAAACATGAAGAGCCAGGAGCCTCATGACTTTCCAAGATGCCAGAGTCAGCCCATGGATACTTGGAAGACATGCATGTGGTTTGGGTGGTGGTCTCTGCTGTTGTGATTATACTTATAACCAGCAACCATTTCTTCCTTAGGGGAACCCGGAAGAACACACAATCCTAGAATTTGCTCAGTTAATTAAAAACCTTGTTGGTAAGTAAGATAAACACGTCACTGAGTGAAATTGGCTGCACTCACCCTATCAGTTAATAACACCCTGATTAGAAAATGTGTAATTAATACAAGCTAATTGAATTGGATAAAAAGCAGAACTTTTCAGGAACACTTAATTGTCTTCTGAGTCTTTAATTAAGTAATGGAAAGATAAAGATGAAGGAGCGTGGGAAGGGAGGTTGGTTGTGTTCACAGTTGTATCAGCAGGTTGGGGTGGAGTGGGAGGAGTAGATTTGTTCCCAGTGCTTGAGATGGGATAGTGGTAGATCACTCTGCACAAGTAACAAGTGTTGGATTTCCAAACACGGACAGTGATGAGAATGAGATTTCCAAGAGCCAAGAGGGAACAGTACCAGCTTGTGTGTTTCTGATGGAATCTGCTGGCGAGTTTCAAGTTCTTGGCAGTTCCGGCCAACCTAGCCATGACATGTTGGCGGCAGTGTAGACACTGGGAGTAACCCCAATCAGGGGCGTGCTCTGAAAGTTATAAGAAGCGTGTGTGTTTTCAGACAGCACTTGTGTTGCAGATGCACAGTGGGTGAGCCCTTTGTCACATCAGCAGGCTTACTAGAGCTCTGGGAAGTCCTGACTTTTGGCGGGGGGGGATGATCTGTTTTCCATGGTTGATCAAGAAATTTGAGTAGAACACAACCAGATTGGAGTGTGGCTGGCTAGACTGGGGTAAGCCTGATGTAGGACGTGCTCAAGTGCTTGTCTAGACCCCATACTTAGCTGGGTTGACTCTTGGGGGCTGTCCTTCCTGAGTTGGAGCTGTCATCTACCAGCATGTTCTTATCAGCTCTGGACACTCGGGCAGGAGGGGGGCTGGCCATCCTTGGTCATAAATTGCAGGATCTCATGGCCCCAGCAGCCTCCCCGAGATGTACTTCCCCAGCTTTCCCACTCTGGGTCTGCCTGTCTCTACCCAGGTAAGGAAGGGATGTGCTCAGATAGCAGTTTGTCCAGGATCTAGGCTATCCCAAACCTCTATCTCGAGAGGGGCCCAGGGGCCAGCATCTTCAGCGTCACACAGATGCTTATTAGAAATGCAGAATAACACACCCCAGCCATGTCTTCTGGATCAGAATCTGCATTTTGACAAGATCCTTGGGCATTATAATCACTATGGTTCTGTGAAAGGCTGAGTAGCACACCACCCCAAACTGCAGAGGCTTACAACAGCAACCATTGTATTGGTTTGTGATTCTGTGCCCGGGGCTGGCCTCCGCTGGGCGTTTCTTTTGCAGGTCTTTGCCGATGGTCCCTCGCGTGGCTTCATTCTGCTGGCCAGCACGGTAGCTGGACATCTTATGTGTTGGCTCAGGGCTCACACCTGCAGGTGCATAAATAGTTAGGTCTTCCATAAGGCGTCAGCCCGGAACTGGCCCACAGTCATTCCTCCTGCACTCTACTTGGTTAAACACGTTGGAAGACAGCCCACTTCCAGGCCAGGGGCTCCTGCAGTGTGTGAATGCCTCATATGTGGCTCAGTGAGGCCATCGGATCACAGATGACACCACGTTTGCCACTTTTACTTACTTTGGAGTCTGGCTCTGTGGGCATGCCTGCTGTGTTAGCTGATGGTGGGTGGTCTGCCTGGGAGCGGGCAGCTAGGGAGCCCTGCCCTTTTTCTCAGGAGTGACTGCCTCCCACCCAGTTCTCATGGGGCTAGAGGTACAGTCCCCCGTGTGACTCAGTGACTCCGTGGGAAATGCATTCCGTCATCTGCACCCTTATTCACTGCATGGAGGGGATTTCACTTTGAGGCATACGGTAAAAGTCCCACCTGGAGTGGTTTGTGATTCTCTTACCTTTCTTTTTTCTTAATTCAGGTAGTGGAAGTGAGATTCAGTTTCTCTCCGAAGCCCAGGATGACCCACAGAAAAGAAAACCAGACATCAGAAAAGCGAAGATGATGCTGGCGTGGGAGCCTGTGGTGAGTGCATGGCCGACACTGCCCTGTCGACAAAGGCCCATGGCGGGTCCTTGTGGGCGCTGGTGTGCTTGGGCGGACAGGACGTAGGGTTTTCTCCAGGCTGGTATATGGCTTCTCCTTTCCTGTGTCTCACTCAGTGACAGGGGAAATGGGAGCCCACTGTGGAGTCTGCTTTTGTAAACTTGCACACGCACATGGCTTACTCCATGAAAGAAGGATCCAGGGCAATGGCCACATGCACTCTGGGCCTGGGTCGCCCTGGCTGACCTGCCTGTCTCCACTCGGCCCAGGATGTCCTTGGACATGCAGGGTTGGGCGAGGTTGCTGTGTCAACCAGGGCAAGCAGGTCACCCCAGTTACCAGGAAGGTGGAACACCAGGTTGGGAGTATGAGAGACCAAAGTCCAGGGAGCGGTAACCCTCCATGCCTTTCTGTTGCTCCTAGACTAAGTTAGACTCCATGTGGCCTGTGGGAAACTGTGCAGGTAGATTAGTGTGTGTCCTGCAGGTAGATGTGGGAGATACCCAGGGAAGAATAAGTAACTCAAGAGGCGGCTTTAGAATTTAGGTTTAAATACCATCTTAATAGGGAAAGAAGAGGGGCACATAGGCCTCTTAGAGGACAGTAGATGATTTTTAAGAACGGTGAATGGGGGCGCCTGGGTGGCTCAGTGGGTTAAGCGACTGCCTTCGGCTCAGGTCATGATCCTGGAGTCCCGGGATCAAGTCCCGCATCGGCCTTCCTGCTCAGTGGGGAGTCTGCTTCTCCTTCTGACCCTCCCCTCTCTCATGCTCGCTCTCTCTCATTCTCTCTCTCTCTCAAATAAATAAAATCTTAAAAAAAAAGAACTGTGAATGGGCCCTTAGAAGAAGAGATGGGAGATAAGAGAGCCAGTGACAGTTTACCTGGTGTCCAGGTCTAGTGCCCTCTCCTGTGGTGAGAGTCAGTGCTCCCTGGTTGATGACGCCTCTGGGAGGGGACTCAGGACAGCTGGATTTCTGTTGGAGGGACTGTCTGGTCGGAGGAGTTCAGAGAGAGCCTCGCCCTGCACTTGTTCAAGAGGCTGCAGCCCAGCACAGTCCATATACCTATCAAAGTGGCATATTTGGGGGTGATGTGGTCCTGAGCTCCCACAGTCATGTTTTGGGGCGGTCTCTTCTGCTGCCCTCCAGAGAGCTGAGTAGAATCCTACAGTGTTGGATCTTAAAGGGACTTGAGAGTTCCAGTCCGATCTTATTTTATCCTGGAATCTACAGGTCTGAGTGATTGAAGGCCACAGGGATTTGTTGAGTGCACTAAAAATATGCTCATGCCCAGACAAAATTTAATACATAAGAATTCCCGCCACACTGGGGCGCCTGGGTGGCTCAGTCGTTAAGCATCTGCCTTCGGCTCAGGTCATGATCCCGGGGTCCTGGGATCAAGCCCCACATCGGGCTCCCTGCTCCTCGGGAAGCCTGCTTCTCCCTCTCCTACTCCCCCTGCTTGTGTTCCCTCTCTCACTGTGTCTCTGTCAAATAAATAAATAAAATCTTTAAAAAAAAAAAAAAAAAAATTCCCGCCACACAAAGCAGCAAGTGCAGATCTTTGTTTTTAGAAGGCATTTGCCATCGGTCCTTTTGTAAGTAGAGCCCCTTTATTTTAAACAAAATAAATTTTAAAAAGCTAAAGGTACACTTGCTGTGTAGTAACTGTTGCTTTTATATTATGTGAGGTATGTAGGTATTTTTATTTTTCTGGAGTTTAGATGTATAACATTCTAACACATTTAGAAGATGAGACATCTACCACTGGTTTCTCTTACTACTAGTTTCAGCTCATTAGTAGTTTCTGAGGGATCTTGTCCAAAGAAGCGTTTAGTCATATACCCATCTTGATTTTTCCATATGTGTCTTGTTGACAGTGCTGTTGAGGTACAATTCGCATATAGCAAACTGCCTATATTTAAAATGTCCAACTTGATAAATTTTGATGTATTTCTATACCCGTGAAACCATCACCACAGTCAAGGTAACAGGCATACCCTTCTCCCCCAACAGTTTCCGGGTGCCCCTTGGCAGCACTCCCCTCCTGACTTCTCCCCTTGTTCTCATGGGCAACTGGTTGGATTTCCTGTTGGCTGCAGGGAGGGGCTCTGAATTAAGATTGCTTCCGCGGTGTCGTCATGGGTTCTTCTCAGACTCAGCCTCTTAGGTCACTGGGAGCGAATGTCCCATGGGAGAGTGAGGTGGGTGGGTCACGCACAGGTGTTTCCCAGGGCACCCTCCCTCCATCATACACTTCCGAAAGAAAGGCACATGCACACGGGCATTATTTTCAGGTGCTCTTTGTGGTTGATTCAAACTGAGATAGACCCCAAACCAGCAAGAGGTGGTTCAGGTCTTTGGGGATTAGAGCTCATCTTGTGTCCATCTGGGGTGTAATTTGTTAAATTGCCCAGTGCGTTCTGAAAGCGGCTTTGGAAGGACCTCGTCCTGGCGAGCCCATGATGCCGTGTGACCCACCCGCGGTGCTGTGAGTGCCCCTGCGGAGGGCAGGCCGCTCGTCAGCATTTCCTGCCCGCGAAGCCCCGGGGAGGTCTGCAGTGTCTTTCAACAGTGACCTTGTCTCCCCTTCTCACCTTCTCTTTAAACAGGTCCCGCTGGAAGAAGGTTTGAACAAAGCCATCCACTATTTCCGTAAAGAACTCGAGTACCAGGCAAATAATCAATACATCCCCAAACCAAAGCCTGCAAGAATAAAAAAAGGACGGACACGCCATAACTGAAAACCTCACTTCTCGGGACGGGAGACTCCCTGTTTCACACTTGATGGGATGTATTTTTTTTTTCTTTTTTCTTTTTTTTTTTTAAAGAAAGACTTAAAACAGGTGTCATGAAGAACAAACTGGAATTTCATTCTGAAGCTTGCTTTGAAGAAATGGATGTGCCTAAAAACTCCCCTCAGAAAACTGCAAATTTTGCCTTGCACTTTTTAAAATCTGTCTTTTTATGTAAAATAGCGTAGATGCATCTTTGCGTATTTTCACGTTTTTTATCTTGCTATGAGAGCATATGTCGTGACTGTCATTGACAGTTTTATTTACTGGTTTCTTTGTGAAGCTGAAAAGGAACATTAAATGGGGTGAAAAATGCCAATTTTATTTATAAAAGTGGGTACTTATAAATGAGACATTATACTATGCATAAAGGACAAAAAAAAAAAGCAAATTTAGCAGTATTGTCAGGTGGGTGACACACCGGCTTTTATTCTTCAGGCAGATAAAAGAATTCTGTTGGAGAGCTTTATGTTTCTTTTAATTCAGAATTCTTCCAAGGTCTAGTTTTTAGTTGCAAACTTGACTTTGAAATACTTCTGTTGGTTATCATGATCAAGGATATTTGAAATCACTACTGTGTTGTGCTGCGTATTTGGGGTGGGGGTGGGAGGGGACAAAGTTAACGTATTCTTGGTTAACAGTGGTTAAATATGCTATTTTAATAAAATATTGAAACACACTTGCAATTTTAAAGGTTGGCTCTCTGCTTTGCATGGTGCGTTGTTGGATTGCTAAGAAAAATGCTGTAGAATTTAAAGGAAAAACCCAAAAACATCCAGGTTGGTATATGTAACCTGACGAGTAGGTATTAAAAACATTGCTCTGCTCCTGGGGCTGAATCTGCATATAATATTAACTGCTGTGTGGAGAGACTTTTCCGATCTCACCCAGGGTTTGAATCACTGTATATCCTTCTCTGGCAGCAACGACCAGGTGGAGAAAAAGAAGTGCCATTTGTTGTAAAATCTGTAAACTAGGTGTGTTGAGTGAAAACTTTGAGAGCTTTTGCTTTCATTAAGAATTCTTTCAAGCTCTGGTGTTAGGATTTTTGTATTCCTTTTGTACTAAATGGGAGAACAATACAGGGAGTTAAAGCAACTACATTTTCCAAGCCAGCTGGCTCTGCATGATAGCAACAGAGGCTGACCTGGCACCAGGAGAGCTCAAGCAGTGGAGCAGAGTGCCTGTTTCCATAACTAACCAGGGTAAGCCAGACTCGCCTGCCCTTCACAATCACTTGGGGATTTTTTTTTTTTTAATTGGACATGTTTTTCCTATCGAATCACTGAGGCCAGGCCAAGGAAGCTGTGGTTTTGTCTTATTTGTCATGCTAAATTCCCCAGAAGATTCTGGAGCTCGGGATTGTTGCTAGATCAGACATTGTGTAAAAGAGAAAGAGAGGATTCACGGAAGGTTCTTATTTTAATTGTCATTATTTTGGCTTGAACTGTGCAATACACCATTTACTGGGCAGAGGTGAACAGAGCTGAGAAGTTTGGACCCCAGACATCGCAGAACAAGTAGAGACCTGGAGGGAACTTTTGTAGAGCTAAGTTGGACAGAGCAGTTTGGGGGTACCCAAAAGCCCTGGGGTTCAGGATTCTCTTATTATTTGCTCTTGTCTAGAATTCTGGAATTTTTTTTACTTTCATCCCTATGATTTCCATGAAAGTTTTCAGGGAACAAGGAAGAAGAGGAAGAGGGATCATGTCTAATTCCCCCTAAGGAAAAGGGTAATAATGCATCCAGGGAAATAATGTAAGCTTTCGATTGAGCATGTCACTGTCCCAGGGAGAGAGGAAAGTGGTATTGAGGGAGCCTGGAGAGGGGCAGGTGGGTGGTTAGATGACAGTGCCCCTGCATTTCAGGATTGGCTCCTGATGTGGGATTCACTGCTGGGGTATAATTCCTCTTCCTTCAATGACCGTGAATGAGCTCAAGCAAGGTGCACGTTACAGAATCAGAACATGCTGGATTTCACTTATGTGCTCTTCAGTACTGAGCCTGGCCCACTGGCCCCAAGTAGACTCTTGCAGCAGCCTGGTTACTCCATGAGCCCTGGTGGAGTCTTTGATCATGGCACTGGCCCTGGATGGGCTGTTCCTCTAATAGTTCTCAGTTCAACTGGGAGCTTGACTTCATTCTCAATTCTCAATTTCGAAGTTGTATTGAGTGAAATGCTGGTCTGGCCATGACAGTGAGTTACAATTTGGCCTCATAAGAGACTATGGGAAATCTGGGAAGTCCTCAGTGATTTCCTGGGGCAGAGGAGCTGTGAGTTTTAATGTTTCAGTTTGTATATGAAGGTGATTTGTGTGTATTACCTAGACTTTCTCTGTGGTTAATTGTTACATTTGCTAGGGAATTGAAAAATTGCATTGCCCTGAGAACCGCTTACTACAGTATCCGGAGGTGGGCATGCACACTGCTTCAAAGACTCCAGTAGGGCTTTGTTCTCATTACCAAGATTAACCCACCTGTTTTCTCTGTATTAAAAATTCTTGACTGTGTCCTGTTTGTACCCTAGGCACATTGGGGAACAAGGGTCATTTTTATCTACAGCTGTGCTGTGGGAAGGAAAAGTAGGGCTTTTATTATCAAAAATCTTAATTTTTTTTTCTCCTTTTAGGTGGGAAACATCTAGCAGGGCTGGCATGATTCCCTTTCCCCAAGTCAGTTGGGCTCTGATATAACCCCAGCAGGTTAGACTGGTTAGTGCCTCCCGAGAGGGCAGGTCTTGTTAGGGAGAACAGAGTCCTCTGCTGTAATTCAAAACAGTTCCTTTTTCTCTCCTGAGCACGGAATTTTTCTCTGCTCTTTACCTATGAACACCAGGTTGAGTTCCTAGAGAGAAAACTCACAAATTTTGGGGGTCCCCCTGGATTTTTTAAGACTTGTCCACACGGGCCTCCAGCAGTTTGTCAGTTACAATTCAGATGTTCCTCCTTCGGCCCTGCTCTTGCAGTAAGTGGTAGTCCTATGTATTCGCCTGTCAGTCTTCAATTTGGGGGACGGCAGTTTGCTCGGCAACCTCACTACTGTGTTGCCTCTAAGAAGAGATGTTGGTTTTTTCAGTTCTGCTTTTTAGCAGGACAGAGGGATGACTTGCAAGCCCCTTCCATGTTGGTGAAAGGGTTTGTTCAAGAACTTTAATGCTTGTTAAAAGTCTTGCTATTTGTGTTTATTTTGAAATTTTGTGTGTCTGTATCTTTTATACATTTTATTTGAAGTGAAACTAATGTGACGTGGTATAAAGACCCAGGATGCAGGAGTCAGAATAGCTGGCTCTGCCACTTACCAACCGTGGTAGACCAGTCCTTAAAGAAACAAAAATAAAGAAAAATGCAAGGAGGAGACTTCTGTTTCCAAGAAGATGGAGTAGGCAGACTTTGCCTTTTCTTCCCACTAAGTACAATTTAAAATTATGGACATTATATGTAAAACACACGTAGGAGGACTTTGGAAGTGGATAGAAAAAAGTGGATGACTAGGTATCTCAGGACCTGAGGAGGGATACATTAGTGTCATAATGGGTGGACTTGTGTCCTACCTAAAATTCACATGTTGAATTCCTAATCCCCTGGACCTCAAAATGTACGGTATATTTGGAGATAAGGTCTTTAAAGAGGTTATTAAGTTAAAAAGGTCTTTAGGGTGGACCCCAATCTAGTCTGACTGGTGTCCTTATATGGAGGAAATCCAGACAACGTATGTGTGCATGTGCACGGGGAAGACCATGTGAGGACACAGCAAGCAGGTGGCCATCTGAAAGCCAAGGAGAGAGACCTCATGAGAAACCAAATCTGCTGACACCCTGATCTTGGACTTTCAGCATCTGGGACTGTGAAAAAATAAGTTTCTGTTGTTTAAGCCCCCCAGTCTCCAGTATTTTGTTATGGCAGCCCGAGGAAGCTAATACAAGTGGTGATTTCCTTGGATTTTCTTTTTGCCTCATGTATCCCAGATTTGAGAAGCCAGCAACCTAGAGATGCCAATGGGCACAGTCAGAGCACCTGAAACCTGTTCACTGTAGCAAATGTACCAGGAAAGGGGCAGCCTAGTAAGGCAGAACTAACTTTTAAACGATGGGTCTACTCCAGTCAAATACCATGTGAGAAAATCGCAGCCCATCCCCCATTCCTGCCAGCAAAGGCCAAGTGGGGCCAGAAGTGTTCCCCTTGCCTGGATGTAACAAGATGCCTCAACCTCCTCCCCACCCCCTCTCTGGTAGTATCAGGGAAAGCCTCGCAGGAGCTAGGAACTAGACGGCCAGATCTGGGACTTGCATCTCCGGCGGGTGGCAATGACCCCGTCTCCATGATGTCAGACCATGTGGGGGTCCTGGACTTCCACCCCCTACTAACAGTATTGACGTGCCCCTTTTGCTACCTGCTGGGGTGGTGTCTGAGGAGCTCTAGTAGAGAGTCAGGACTTTGAGCACTTTGATCAGTAGTTACAAAGCAACTCCAGTGGGGACCACTTGTGCAACAGTAATGGGGTGCCCTTCTTCCAGCCTGATTGTCATCAGTGAGGAGCTTGGACTTCTACCCCCACCAGGCAATCAAGAGCAGTGCTCCCTCTCACTCACAGGAGTGGTGTCAGAGAAGGCCTGCCAAGGCCCAGTGTTTTATCTTAGAATGTTCAACCAGGTTTCACGTCACACCAAGGTGTGGAAAATCACCTCACACCAAGAACCAAGAAGATCTCAAATGGAATTAAGAGATGACAGCAGATGTTAGGATTATCTGACAAATTATTTATTTTCAATTTTTTGTATTGGATTGTAGTTGAAACACAGTGTTCCATAGTTTGAGGTGTATAACATAGTGATTTGGCAATTCTGTACATTACACTATGCTCACAAGTGTAGCTACCATTGGTCACCATTCAATAGAAGCTACTTCAATACCATTGACTATATTACTGATGCTGTACCTTTCTCATCCCCACCTGACAAATATTTTAAAGCAGGTATCATAAAAAATACTTAAGTGAGCAATTATAAACATGCTTGAAACATGAAAAATAGAAGATCTCAGCAAAGAGGAGTTATAAAGAATTCAATGGAATTTTTAGAAGTGAAAAAGAAAATAACCAAAATAAAAAGCTCTGTGGGTGAATTCAACAGCAGAATAGAGAGGACAAAGTGAAGACTCCATGAACTTGAAGATGGAACAATAGAAATTACCTGTTCTGAACAAGTAGACTGAAAAAAAGATGTGTGGAACTATAATGAAAAAATCGGTCATGTCATTGGAGTCCTAGGAGAGGAGAGGGAGGTGGAACTGAAAAAAATATTCCAAGAAAAAGAATGGACAATTTCCTAAAGTTGCCAAAGCAACATAAACCAACAGATTCAAAATGCAAAGTGAACCCCAAATAAGATAAAGCCAAAGAAATCCATGCCAAGATCCATAATGGTAAAACTGAAAACTAAAGCCAAAGGAAAGCCATCTCAAAGGCAGTCAAAGGGAAATGACACATTGCCTCTAGGGGCAAAACAATTATAATGGCCATGAGTTTCTCATCAGAAACCGCAGAGTTCATGAATAAGTAGCACATTTTCCAAGTGCTGGAAGAAAACTGTCAGTCCAGAATTCTATATCCAGTGAGAATATCCTTC